TATGCTAGGGATAAATACTGGGCTTCTCCAGGAGGTCCCATAGATTTCTGAGGTTTCCTCACAGAAACCCCTGTTCCTTGGGTCTGGATCAGTCCCATGCTGGTATTCCAGCTATCAGACTGGAGAGCAAGAGTTCCCGGATGTTCAGGTCAGCTGTTTCTGTGGGTTTCACCAGCCTGGTCTGGCACTCTGTGCTCTTCACTGGTCCTTCTCTGCATCTGGGTTCAAGACAAAAACTCTACTTCCACCAGCTGCTGGATGAAGGTGTATAAGTCAGTCATCAATCTCATAATCAGGGGAGGGCATTTAAGGTAGCCTCTCCTCCGTTGCTGAGATAGTTAGCTGGTGTCATCTTTGTAGATCTCCAGACATTTCCTAGTGCCTGATTTCTCTGCAAACCAAAAATGTCTCCCTCTATTATGATATCTCCATTCTTGTTATCGTGTATTCTTCCCCTGACTTATATTTTCTGCTCCCTCATGTCCTTGGCATCCCTCTTCTTCTCCCCTTCTCATTCAAACATTTTCTTAATAAAACATTATTTGTATAGAGTTGAATGGCCACAGAGAGTTTTCTCATAATGTCCTCTGACTGTATTAATAATCCCCTGAGGGGAGTGGCCAGTGATGACTGTGCTCACTCCCAGAGTGGGAAAGTCTCAGCTGGGAAATGGTGGAGCTGGCTGTGCTGATGCTTCATCGTGTGGGGCAAGCCCAGCATCAGACCCTGAACCCACCATTTGCTTTCCTCTATCCCACACTCCATTCACCAGTTACTGATGGTTTCTGACTGGCAGGTTCTATGCATATCCACCCCTTTGCACGCCTTCTCTTTAGGATGGAGTGCCCTCCCTTCTCCATCTGTAAACCCACAGTCAGTTGTTAAGGTGCCTTCCTTCGAGGTCTTTGAATACCCTGTTCTTACCTTCCTCTTACCCCACAGAGCACACTGTTCTTGCAGTTGGGTCTTTATCACACTTTATAAACTCCTTCTGCTGTGCAATGGGTTCTTCTTTGTCCCCTCCCCCACCTTGTTCTCTAGCCAGTCTTTGTTATATCTTATTTGTGGATGTAACCATTGTAAACCAGTCAGTGCCTGTTGGCTAAAGCCATGGAAGCATCTGGGAATGATTTGCAAGGTGTTTTCAAAGATCAATTGATAAGTGTTTAGGTCATAACCTCCTCTATAAAGGCTTTGTCTTGGAGGTGATGGCAATCTGGCTGCAGGATCTGTCATGCCATTGATTGTCAGGGTTGATTGGCTGATCTGGCTTGCAAGGTGGGCGTCCTCTTCCTTCCTCACTGCTCTCTGTGTGTCCCTGCCAAAGCTGTGCATTTGGTTGGATGAGGACGTAGGACCAGTCTTTTGTTGAGGGTACAGGAGTAGCTGTAATCTCCCACTAGAACCTCCCAGTAAGCTTTCAAAGGCCCTGTGTCCAGTGACTTTCAGAGTTAAACTTCAACATTTGTATGGGGGCGGGTGTCAAGGTTAAACAGGGGCCAACTGTAGAAATCCTGAATTTGGTAGTATCTTCAATAGGAACTTTAAGGGTCTATTAGACACTTTGAATTGTGGAAGGTTTTCTTATTCTACTGTATTTTAGTGCATAGCTCCTGACAGTGGCTGTGTGTCACAGCTTTCATATTGTATTCAAGTTATTTCTTTATGTGAATATCTCCCCACTAGACTCTTGGTGAATGTGGCCCGGGTCTTATTTATCTTTGCCTGCTCATTGATAATTCTTGAATAAACCTAGAGGGAGCAAATCTTCTTCCTGCTGTTTGCATGTGGATGCAAACCTACATATTAATAATAGTCCTAATTCTTAGTCTCTTGTTTTTCGTAGCCACCACTGGTCCAAGCCATCTTCGGCGGTGATCCAGAGGAGATCCGCACTCTCATCCACAAGACTGAAGATGTTAATGCACTGGTAAGAGATGCTTTGTTTGAGCAGGTCCTCTTTTGGGGCAAGCAAGGGCCCGTTGACATTTCCTGTGCTTCGGGCCCCTGAAGAAAATAGTTAGAACCCGAGGCTGCTTTTTAGACTATTGTTTTAAAAACCCATGCAATGAAACTCTAGCGTTATACTAAATCAATTACATTGAAATATAGTTGTAAAAATTTAAAGGATCAAGGTCTGAAGATGTAGTCACTTGCCTAGGACACACCAGTGCTGGATCCCCAGCACTGTGTAAAAAGAAAAAAAAATAGGATGCAGTAATATGTATGCTTAAAATGACTTTATTCTAATCAACTCATAAGTAAAAACATCATACAGTAGTTTAAGGAACCATGTAAGCGCTTCCCTAGCTGCAAACTCTATTAATCTCTGTGAACTTTTATACAGTTAGAATGACTATTCTGAAGCTGAGGGTATTACACATTCCCTGTCAATCACTTTTCTGCCACAGAAAAAGTGAAAACGATGACTGAGTTGAGGCAAGAAGGAAAAAACCCACTTTATATCCCATCTATATCCTTCTTAAGATACAATGACAGATCTGACAGTGAGCATAATAGGGCAGCATTGAATTCTGAGTGACCTGCCACCTCTCTCATGTGTTAGGAGCACGGCTGTGATTTCTCCTGGTGACAGTGTCAGCCTGACAGCTGCTACTCCTGTGGTTTTCTGCATAGATCTACAAGGAAAGGATCCTGGCCCCTATTAAGAAGGCAGTGAGTGGGAGGATATAGCATTGCTCTTTTCTGATATAGATGCCTATTAAGAAGGCAGTGAGTGGGAGGATATAGCATTGCTCTTTTCTGATGTGGTGTACCTTGACTCTTTAGTGAAGTTTGGCAAGCTGTGCCTGTGGGACAGCAGATATGAAAGCTTTTGATTGTTTTGAATGATTGAAAAGAGACAAGGAGAGTAACAATTTTTGACATGAGCGGCTGGTAGGAGGTGGAAACTTGAGTGTCCACAGACATCATGGCCATCCATCATGCACACACTGTCTGTCCTGCTTTCACACTGCACTTACTGAGCCAAGGCATTGGGCAGAGGGCAGAGCCAGCCCCACTCACGCTCTGCCCTTTATAGGAGAAGTCTGCTGGTTCTTGTTCTGAGGAGTCTGTGACCCTGGGGTGAACCATTGAACTCAGTTGTGCTTATACCCTCTCTGAAGTTGTCTAAACCATGGGTGTTCTTAAACATCTTACATATTTTTCTGAGAAAAGGGTCAAGATATTTCACTGAATTCCAAAAAAGGCCTGTGGCACATCCATCAAAAGATTAACACTGATACCATATCTGCAAAGTTTCCATAAAATAAGTCACCTGCACTAAACAAAGGGAAAAGGCATTAGTCAAGAATTGGCCCTTTTGGTAGTTTCCTAGAGTTAGGCCTAACAAGCAATTAGGTGGAGGACATGCTGCTAACTCGTTTAACATAATCTGATTATCAGAATGCTCATGTCCTAGGGGACAGTTCTCTTGAAAGTTCAGTGTTCAGCAGAAAAGACTGGGAGAGTCAAGTACGTCTTCAGTGTAAGCAGAACTTTGCCCCAGGTGATAATCCATCTCCGAGGTGGTATCTCTATCAGGTCTTCTGGCGGCTCCTTTCCAAGAGAGGTCCCTTGGAGCAGCCTTTGTTCTGAGACAGTGCAGACTGGAAAGCCTTTTGGCAGCTTCTCCCCAGCTGGCAGTGAAAACAACAGGGCAATGTTTTGAGTTGCGTTTTTTGCAAGGTAAGCCCGGATAAAGTCAGGGACAGAGGACTTGCAGAGGAAGCTGGGCACCTGTCCAGAGCCCGTGGGGTGTGACCAGGAGGCTATGAAGCAAGTTCCCTGTCAAGAGCTTTGACATCACAGGAATTTGCCCAGACTATTTGGTGGCTGTGGGCCAAGCCCCTGCAAGCCTAAGGCAAGGTTACTATCTTTTCCTAATGGTCACAAGCAAACAGAACTTTTATTTAGCTACACCTCAGGAAATTGGACTGACCTCTGAATGGCCTTTGTTTCTTTTTGGAAATGTAACAAGCATTGCTGATTGGTACAAATTGCTTGAATTGTGCCCAGCTATGTCACTGAGTTAGCTAGGTTTGGCTCTCATAACACATAGATGTCCGATGAATGTTTGAAATAGGGAGCTTAGTTCTCTCAGCAACAGATGGGGAGAGTCCCCATTTTACATGAGTCCCAGGTATGGATGTGTGGTTTCTAAGGTCACTGTTAGGTCATCTATAGTCCTGTTGAAGAAAGGAACAAGGAGCCTAGATGGAAAGCATGGAAAGGTTTTCACAGGTCAGGTGAGTCTGCTGACAAACACATTTAGATGAAAAGAAAGGAAGTGTATGGCGAGTCCCACCTGTTACTTGAGGTAACACTGGTGGCCTTCCCTCTTTACCCTTTGCTTTCCTCTCTGACCACACTTATTCATTATGCTGGGGATCGAACCCAGGACATGTGCTTCACCCTTGGCCTTGTGCCTTAACTATTCTTTCCTGATGTTTTCACCTTGCTTTTGCTTTCCCACCCGGCATTGTCTTTGGAACCATGAGTTCTTAGCTGTATGTGAACCACTCTTTGATTAGTTAATCCTGATAGAGAAAGCAGTGCCATTCAGACTGGCCTCTCTGTGCTTCTCCAAACTCGATTTCTTATCCCTGGATTCATGAACTCTAAACTTCATCTATATTGAATTACTTAATTGTATGATTTTCTCTTTTTTTGACTTCTGTATGTTCCATCCCTACTAACGTTTCTACTAAGTTATCCTAATTACTTCATCCTTTCTGATGTCTTCATTACCCTCTCCCTGGCCCAGAAGAGGCCTACCCCTCTCAACTCCCACTGCCTTTCCTGCCTTTCTGATCACTTTAGACTCCTCCTTGATTCAGTTGTGCCTGTGTCTTAGGTCCAAGAACCTATGTGCTTGACAACCTGGCTGTACTTCCATTTGTTCTCATTTGTTCAGTTACATTTGCAGTTCTTGCAACACTTTGAGAGAATCCATTAGCCCTAATTGCTTGGTATTGAGTTACCTTGTGATGGCCCATGTTTTATTTTTCCGAAGCAGACAGATCATTGATCTGGAAAAAGCGGCTGTCTGACAGGGCTCAGCTGGGAGGTGGGTGTTCTGTTTGGAAGACTGAGAGAATGTAGACTGATTTGAGGAACCTGTGACATGTCAAGACAACCACTCTGGATCCTTCTGTTGCCTCTATCATGGGTGGTGTATCAGAGCCTAGAAATGTGGGATAACTGTTATGTAGTCTAAGATGTCCATGTAAACTGATCCAGAAGTGGCTGATCCCTAGGAACATTTTGGAAACTTCCACTGGAATAACCACACTGAGCTTATGGTAGAGAATAGCATCTCAATTTACAGCTTCAAAATTCCAGACTTGAGAAACCATGAAATCAGACTTGGAACTCGATAAGGACATACTTTAGGGTCATGTTACAGTACCCTGATGCCATGAGGATGGTCTTACTGTGCCTCACAGCAGCCAGGACAGAGACAAATTGGGGCCTGTCCGTGGTGAGTGGTGACAGTGGGGAAGGAGGTGAAGAAAGCAGTGATGCTCTAGACTGAGGACAGGAGCCTGCTGCACACAGCTCAAGTGAGCATGTCGCATTAAACCAGAACAGACTTGTCGTTACGGCAGGTGGTTGTAAGCTATAGAAATGAAAATTTCAGCCCCAAAGATAAGAAATACTAGATGGGGCTGTCTAAAGAAGTAGTGAGCTGTCTTCACAGATGAGGTCCCTGAAAGGCCATTAGACAGAGCTCCCAAAGCTGATGACTGGTGGTAGGACAGATAGCCCCATCCCCTGTGCTGTGCCCTTGGCTAACAGTAGTAATTCATGGCACTGTTCTCTCCACCCCCATTTTAGTGTTAGAGATACTGACAGTTACATTGTACACACATGTCCATTATGACTTCTTCCCTGCCTGAAGTAGATTTACAGAGCTTCGTCTTCCAATTATGAAAGACTGTTTTTCCAAGATTTGTGGCTCCTAAGTGATACCAAGTGTGAGTTGTTTATTTCTCATTAAAAAGAGCTGCGAACAGGAAAACATGCATGCACACAGAGTTACATAGGCATGTGTAATGCTCATTATTATGTCAAATAAAATTAGCAAAGATTCTTCAATATTATGTAATACTCAATACATGCTAATTAGTAGTCTCAAACATTTGAGTTGTTCCCAATTTGTTTATTTTGATTTATCTATTTTATACAAAAACTTTTTTTTATCCATGTCATATTTATTATTTGCAATAAAGTTTGACCCAAGTATACTGTTGCACTTTGCTTTACCTTCTCTGTTTTGTGGTAGGAGGGGCTCATATGTGATTGTAACTGGTATATATCTTAAGTTAAAAGCAAAGAACTTATGGTAAGCAAAGGGAAAGAAACCGTTAGTGCTACAGTTTTTGGCTCCAGGAAATAATTTAGATGATGGATTAGTGTTAATCTCAGATGCAAATGAGAGAGAAAGAAAATGCCATTTTACAAGCAGGGATTTTATAAAGAATAGGACAAATGAGAAGTTGTGAGCTTGTAATTTATCTGGGCATCTATTGGAGTAGATTTCTTGAAACATCTACACAGGAGCAATTTGATGACTCAGCAGTACAGAACACTGGCTGCCTCTCCAGAGGACCCAGGTTCTAATCCCAGCACCCACATGACAGCTCACAACTATCTGTAACTCCATTTCCAGGGCATCTGATTTTCTCTTCTGAATTCTGTGGCACCAGGTACATGCATGGTGCATAGACACACATGCAGACAAAACACTTAAACAATAAAATAAAAAAGTAAATTTTGAAAAATAAATCTACTTTATGAGGGCTAACACATGTCTCTCACCAAGGAATTTGGAATATGATCACTTTGCCACATTTTAAAAAAAGTTTTCTTGGCCTGATTCTCCCATGTTAGCTTCCCACAAATATTGGAATATTGGCTCAATAG